ATATCTCGCAGTGTTTATTCTTGGAATGAGTTAGAATACTGTCAGTGTGAATTTTCAGATATGAGTCAATCCTGGGGCATAATGATAGATCCATACTTACCATCTTTATTCTACTACTTAGCGCAATGTTTCTCCTCAAAATTTGATCACAGTGGATGAAAAGTGGCTGATAATATACAGTGTTGTCCTTCCTATCTGTCGAAAGATCAATCTACAACTAGAAAGAACTGTGAGTCGAGTGTATAAGACACGCCTTTGCACTGGTCTTCTCAATTACAATACAACAAGACAGAACACAAACATATACAACAGTTTAAAGCCTAGAGGACTTAGATGCATAATCTACAGATTTAACATTTAAAGCAAACAGGGGAGGTACTCATAACTTTATTGGTTAGACTCTGGAATGGATCTGCTGGTTCAAATGGACATCCTCCCGTTAAATAGACAAGAGGGAAACCAGGGAGGGGACTCATTTCTATACAGATTTCCAGACATCAAAGACGAAAGGTTAAATCAAGAAATTGCTGAAGCTTCACCATGTGGAAAGGACACGAGATAAAATAAAGGATATCCATTCATCTAATGGAATCTGTATAGTATTCAATGAATAGCATCAAGGCAAGGGGAGGGGAGCACATTGCCACCACTTTCCTTGAAGGGCACAACCTGAATAGGAAACATGACCAATTCTTAATCTATTTCATAAGAGAGAGAAGGTGAATACTTTGAATTAAAAAGGAAGATAGAGGAAAAGGATTTCATTCTTTTCCAGGGTAACAACATAAAAACGCATGACTGCCGGGTCAGAACTTTTCACAAAAATTGTCGTCAAATTTTAAACTAACTAAGGAATGTGATTGTGTAACCCAAGAAAACGTAGTTATACACTCTGTTACTGTGATGCATCCAAACTATAGCCTGTATTCCAGGAAAATTGGCCTGAATTTTCCCAGCCATTCTACAGTTTCCCTTTTAAAAGATGAACGAAAAAATTATCATGAAAACATAATAGTTTTCATTGAGGCCGGTGCTTGCAGATAAGTTAACATTATGTTTCGGTGATAGCTTTTCTCCACGTACTTCGTGAGAAAATTGTGCTCGCCACATTCTAGTATTTCTGTTTAAACTGATGATGTTACAACGAGAAGCATATACTGGGCATTCTTGATAGAACCGAATTTTGTAAACGGGGCCGATTTGCCATAGCTGTTTTCTGCAAGGCAAATAAAATAATATTTCGCACTTGTTGCAGCTAACAATTCAAGTTGAAGTACAATATACGTTTTCTTCTTCGTTGCTAACGATATTGAACGTTGTATTCCCATAAAATTTTTCTAGGATTCAGCATGCGCAGTTATCAATTTAGACGAAAGCAGTTGAATCATTTTTGGTGGGAAATTAAATACCTCTGTTCAAACTTTGAAATGATATTCTACCTCACATAATCAAGTCTTTTCGGAGGAGATCGTTAATTTCAGTCGCTTCATCGTGTGACGGTAATGATTTTCCCCCGCAAATCCATCACCGAAGTTTGCTTGATTAAACCCGGACAAGCTATGAAAAACTTCTGCATGTGCATTTGGAAATATTAAATGAGAACTTTTATGTCCGCTAAACCCGGCTGTCAACAGATCCTGTCGGCTTAATACCATATAGCAGTGAATATCTAGTTTTTCCTCAGAATCCCAGTAGTTGAATGTATCTTCAGCGCAGGAAAAACCATTCGGAGAGGATAAAAGGCCGCAGATGAGACCACAGCCTCTTCGAACAGGGATTTTCTCACAGAGCTTTGTTATTTCGACGTTTCGTTGGAACCACTATACGTACTCGTACAAGATCAAAAAAATCCGCGCGAGGATGAAAACTTGCTAATGGTTTTATCGTGTTATAGATCAAGAAGAGGACAGCATCATCGAACCGCCGGCATGCCAAGTTGGCGATTTATTTCCTGCGCCCAATGGATCCGGGCATAAGGGCGCCTTTGACGTTTTCATGACCACGTTGACATCGGCATTGGCAACAGGTAGGAAATATCAAGCCTCCGGGGGGACACCTTGGTTGTTCGCTGGGCACATGAACGAGGCAAATCGAGCAGATAAACTCAATTCCGTTTTTTAGGGGGGGGGGGGGGGGTTAGTGCCATGTACATGCTGTGGACTCTTGCAAATGTCCTCAGGCTATTGCTGGAGCAAGGCACATGACTGTCCATCACGCGGTTTCTGAAATTCTCACGGGCGTCCAGCTTCCTGCTTCTCTATCGATAAGTCTAATCCATTACTGTACGAGTATATGAGTCACGGTTTACCGAATGCTTAAATAGGAGGAAATGTTTCGGGTCTCTTTCATATATGACAAAGACATTAAAGCTTGACTGATCAACAGCTCGTGAACACTTGTTCGACAGAACTGCGGAGGTAATGTGGAAGAAGTGGTCTGCTGTGAGGTGCCCGGGCTGCACACTCATAGGATTTATTTAAAAAATGCGCGATACTGTACGTTTACCTTCATGACGATTAGTTCCTGAATAATTATTTTCCACGGCCCGATTGATCAGTGGAAATAACTAAAGAATGCACTTCACTAGGTTGCTAACCTTAGAATCATCCACTTGAGTTCTCCAAAAATGTTGGTGTAGTCACGAACTTTTTTTTCCGGCATGTGTATAAAAGACGGTTCTGATATGAACTGAGTTGATTCTTTGCCTCTCTTTCTTTCTTTCTTGTTGGTCATCACTCATTGGTAAAAACAAATGCTGTATATTGAAAAAAGTTTCTCCCAAAAGTTCCCTGCACAACTTATTCCTAAATTTATTTGAAGTCTTTGTTGATCTCTGCATGTGGAGCTCTCGAAATCCTACAGTAATACTGGCTGCACAATGAAAAACACATCTTGGGCAGCACCATCAAAGAATGTCACTTGTGAAAATGATTCAACAAGCTACCCATTATAAAAATACCGGCTCCATTAAGGGCATATTGATACACTGGAAGACAACCATTTCTCAACATTAGCATTGACTATTTTTGACCATTCCAATGCTCTAACTGAAAATGACCTCTCCATATCAATTTGTATCTTTCCTCTAAAAGCTGTGAGTGTTGTACCTGTCCAGATCTTGGATCCATCATAGATGCATACATATTACTTCCGGAGATCAAGAAGACTGCCAACGCTGAAACATTGTCCCCAAAAATGCAGACACCTTCCAATCCACCTGGTCTCATTTCCCAGTTCCCACTAACAAATAAATACAAAATTGAACTATTCTTCTCAAAATGAGACAAATAGCAATTCGATTTGGTATGTGCACCTTGGTGGGGAAGCTTGTACAGTATATAAATGCATCTGAGGGATATGATCAATAATATCAATTCTTGTCGTGCCTACCACCCCCTGGTGGTCAACGGACAAAAGACCAATGGATGCTTTACCTGAAACCCATAGATGTCACTCAATGCAAAATCGAAAAATTTTTCCACAAACGAACAGGACACGAAGACAACCAAGGAAACCAACAAAAACTGCTCCTCAAAAGCCTGGAGATATCCATCAGCAAAAGCCAAGGCAATCAAAGGAGTACTTCACTCTTCCATCCAAGCTCAGTCGATTGGCATCAGATGTGCGAAAGAAACAATTTTGATTACCCCGTGATCTGTGTATGAGATCATGAAAATGTCGCGGAAGAAGTTCCTGGAGACTAAGCTCTAGGACACAGAGAGGTGAGTATAAAAATGTTTAAGTTGATTACTGCCATGCCGTGCTTTTCCAGAACAGACAAAAAAGCGAATCTTCTGGATACCTTCTCGGCATACGTGAAATCATTGGTTCTGATTACTTTCAGGAAAATTTTACTCATCCCTCCCATGCAAACGGATTATTGGTTCTTATATACCCTCAGAAATCGGCGTGAACAATTTTTCACACTGCCCCGAACAAAAAAGGCAAAGCAAAATTGCATTGATTTGAAATTCAAAGTTTTTGTGAAGAGAAGCACGAAAACTTGGAAGAGCTTTATACAATGCTTTGGCAAGAGTTTACTCTTGAAGGTCTGAGATTTTTTCAACAACGAACGAATTTGAAAAACATTCTCAGCTAGTTTCACTGTTTTGTGAGAGCGAACGGGTTCGGGACAGAGCTAGAAATACTGCAGTGTGGGTTCACAGTACTTTCACTTCGGCCCTGTGGAAAAAAAAAGAGAAAGCCCGAGTATGCTGAAAGTAGACCTTTATTAGCCTTTCGTTGCAATTCGAAGACATCAGAAGACGTCGGAGTCGATGTGCTGATGAATCGGTACGACTACACCAGAATTCCGTCTGTAACCGGACCACGGCTATCCATCAGCAAAAGCCAAGGCAATCAAAGGAGTACTTCACTCTTCCATCCAAGCTCAGTCGATTGGCATCAGATGTGCGAAAGAAACAATTTTGATTACCCCGTGATCTGTGTATGAGATCATGAATATGTCGCGGAAGAAGTTCCTGGAGACTAAGCTCTAGGACACAGAGAGGTGAGTATAAAAATGTTTAAGTTGATTACTGCCATGCCGTGATTTTCCAGAACAGACAAAAAAGCGAATCTTCTGGATACCTTCTCGGCATGCGTGACATCATTGGTTCTGATTACTTTCAGGAAAATTTTACTCATCCCTCCCATGCAAATGGATTATTGGTTCTTATACTCTCAGAAATCGGCGTGAAAAATTTTTCACACTGGGCCGAACAAAAGGGCAAGGCAAAATTGCATTGATTTGAAATTCAAAGTTTTTGTGAAGAGAAGCACGAAAACTTGGAAGAGCTTTATGCAATGCACTGCTTTGGCAAGAGTTTACTCTTGAAGGTCTGAGTTTTCTCTGCAACGAACGAATTTGAAAAACATTCTCAGCTAGTTTCACTGCTTTGTGAGAGCGAACGGGTTCGGGACAGAGCTAGAAATACTGCTGTGGGTTTGCAGTACTTGCACTTGCACGGCCCTGTGGAAAAAAAAAGAGAAAGCCGGAGTATGCTGAAAGTAGACCTTTATTAGCCTTTCGTTGCAATTCGAAGACATCAGAAGACGTCGGAGTCGATGTGCTGATGAATCGGTACGACTACACCAGAATTCCGTCTGTAACCGGACCACGGCAAGTCCCGCACACAACATCCAAGCAGGACTATGCATGTCACCGAGTGCAAACACGCTCGTCAACAATTTTGTTCAGTTCATCAGCGTCAGCCGAAAAAAAAGGTTAAAACAGCTAATACCAGTGCCAGGAAGAAATATGTCGTAATACTGTACAATTCTATCTCCACTCCAACCGTCAACGGATAAATACCGAGCTTGGCTTGACACAAACTTCCTCATCACTCCACTCTCCCTAGAACCAGGTCAAAGGGAACCAGCTGCCAACGAAGGGCTTTGGGGTTCTGAACATTTCCAGATTTTCCCGAACAAAATAAAAAAGGAATCACGCCGAATTTTCCATGATTAAAAAAAAAAAACGAAAGGCACGGCAACCAAAATGTTTAACGTTGCCTATAGCGACCTCTCACGCGAGCACACCGTGCAGCAAAGCGTTTCAACCGAACTGAAAACAAAAGAAGTATATATCTATATATACCGTACTAAGAAAGAAAAAAAAATCCTTATCCAATGGCTCTTCTCCCAACGAATCGTCCAAATGTTCGTAGATACCAAAGCAAAACAACAAACGAAGAAGCTTTGAAATAACTCGAGGCGGGATTGCTTCTAAAGGAACGCTTATTGGCACGCATTCAAAGCATCTGCTTTCCGGTTCCACACTAAACTGAAGTACTGTATATGAAGGCTCGTAGAAAAGTTCAAAAGAAATTGAAAGCTGGAACTGGAATATATATATTTTTTTGTTTTGATCCAAGTTTCAGTTTTGTTACCCACTACAAGCTTTTGATGCAAGGAGAATGCGAGAACCGTTTTAAATACATTTTCTCCGGTCCGGCGAAATTAATCGCAAATCGGAATGCGTATGTTCTGCATTCATGGACTACATTTATTTTAGCGGTATAATCGCAATCAAAATTTAAAGATCCGAAGGACATAGTTTCTTCCGAAAATAAATTTAAAACGGTCAACGGCTTCTTTTTCTTCCAAAAATCAATTCAAAAACTGCCGAAAATAATTACAGCCAAGGCACAGAAAGACTTTTTCGATGCAGCAGAAACCTCAGCGGACCTTTCGTGACTTCTAGGGTGCATACACGAGGCCCTCCTGGAACCCACTGCCTCCCAGCAAGCGTATCAAAGCAAAACTAGACCCAACAGCAGACTTCAACCCTGGAATGTCTAGCTGGGGAAAAAAAACCAGATTCTGATTCAAACGGACAGGCTTTGTACACAAAAGCGGCTGATGCACGCACTTCGCGTTACACAGCTAGCGTGCACCGATCTCAGCTGGCGAGCAGGATGGCTTCGCCTTCGGGGGGACGGGGAATAAACGGGTAAAAATAAAAACGGATCAATACAAATCAACAACTCGGAGCAGAGCGAGTTCCTTAGCAGCGGCGCCCTAAATATGCAATCCAAAAAATATATATATGGCAACGTCACCAGGTTCACATGCGAATCATTCAAACAGCCGCCAACCGTCGCAAGAGCGACTGCGCAATGGCTATCTGTCCCCAAGCAGCACGGTTGTCGATTTTGTTCGGTTGGCTCGAGGAGCTTGCAACGGCAGGAACGCGGGGCTTGCGGACGGAGGCAAAAACCTGACAGCGTATCGTTGCGGAGGATGGTGCAAAATTTAGATCTATGGCGTAGAACGGTTTATCACAGGTGTCGCCCGTGTCTCTGCACTCTAGTTATCATCCGGAATAGCTGCTGTCTGTTGCTGCTGGATCATGGACTCCCACTGGGCAATCAACGCGCTTTTCCTCCTGGGAGCTTTTGATCCGATTTGCTGCGGTAAAACATTGAAAATAAAATGTGTGTTAAATTTTGCTTTTTTCGAAATTGCAGTGCTGTCTGAAAATTCCCCGAACATGAAAAAAAGGAAAAAAAATTGCTCGGCCAGCAGAGTTGAGCACAGAACATGAATCAAAACCAATTTAAAGGAAGCTTATGAGCACTTTGTGACGGAAGTCCGGTTCGTCTGAGATTTGTTAATTATAACTTTTACGCACAAATTTCGATATCATTCAAGCGCGAATACACTATTCTGCAGTCTGCGCCAGCAAGTCAAAATGGAAATTTTAATTTAAATTCAGAAGAAATGATCCGCTCTCAGCCAATAGAAAATCATTGTTTCCAACGTGAAAGCAAGGGTGAGGGGTATTGAATAATAAGCGAAAAAAATAATTATTCTTGGCACATTTCACCTACCCGAACAGAAAATTCATTTGGCGAAAGCTGCAGACAATCGACGTTGTGGTATCCACCATATGTAAGAACTGAGGTTCGTGATTTCAAGATTCGATTAATGAATCTACATTATCATGAATCTGAAATTAGTTTGTGCCGCAAGTTGAACTCAAACTAAGAATAAAACTACACTCTGTAATTATAAGAAATGACGGCTTTCGTAAAAGGTTCCCGCCTAGCCTGAAATGCGAACATTCCGTTATTGGCAATCTCAAATGTATCGCGGGGAGAAAATTAACGAAATGAAATCTCAGTACCGAGGCTCAAACTCGAAGGTTGAAAAAATTAACCTTATCCCGTCAGGGATTTTTTTCTCTCATTTCCGTACTCAATTATTCTTCGCTACAAATTTTCATTTCTGGGAAAAAGCCAATGGCTTGAGTGCCTGGATAAAAAGCTGAACTCTTACGGGATTTTCCAGAGAGAAAATCCCGGTGTAAGGCAAGAATAAAAAAACCGGAAACCTGGGAGTTGTTTCCGGAAGCAGCGCAGGAAGCATCCGAAATCGTGGACGCAGCGTCATCATCAAGCAGGTTCGGGATGGACTGGCATCTTTGCGGGAAACTGCCTCCGTTCATGATTCCGTTTTCACTGAGTCTCGGGTAGCTGTGTTTCTTAGAATCGTCACCACTGCTTTCCCCGTCGTCATCGTCGAAAGCTGCCAGCAGGTTCGGTTGCGACCTAGCCAGAGCCTTCATGCGCTGGTCCCTGATGGAGAAAGAAAAATGTTCGAGAATTTGCACATTTTGAGAAATAAATTTTTTTTTGCAGTACAGCTGAGCAATAAGCATCACCAAAACTCAAAAAAAAGAGGCACAGAACTAGCACACATTATTTAAAAAAAAGTCAACCCGTGTTTTGTATTAAGACCATTATGGACAAATAATCGATCACATATTACTGTATAGCTTTAATCATGCGTCAACACCTGTTGTTCGATTTCTAATTTTTCAAGACACAGTTTAGTTTATAGTGTAATTTTGCTTTTGACAAAATTCAAAAAATCTGTTCGAAACGTGCAGTTCACATTTAATTCATGTCGATGATCCATTTTTTGAGTTATATTTTTTTCATTTTGTTTTATCATGACATTAATTTTATTTCATGCATTCCTTGTAGGGCCAATGTGCTCTTTGAGAATCCGACCTTTTTGCCTTGGAAAAATGTTGCCTATTACAACCCGACACGTTCCTGCATTTTGAGCGATGCATATTACAGTACCAGCTCTAAAAAAAAAAAAAGGCGCAGGACTATAGCATACATTATTTTGAAAAAAAAAAAGTCAACCGCTGTTCCGTATCAAAGCTCATCATGTAGAGATAATCGATCGTGTTGTGTATAGCTTAAATTATGTGTTAACACCTTTTTTTAAAAACCATTTTCCACTTTTCAATTAGACACAGTTTACAGAAGTTCATAGTGTACCTACTAAATTCCAAAATATGCATTCAAAACGTGCGGTTCGCATTTAAATTCATTTTCGGCACAACCGCATTTTCACACGTATTTTCATCAGCAAAGCACATTGACTGGAAATGCCAAGAGGCTGAATTCAGAGCAAAAACAAATTTATTTGAAGCAATTTCGCACGTTTTTGAGTTTTATTAGTTTTATTTTTATTTTGTTTTTTGAGTTAGTTTCATTAGCCAGAAAGAAAACTTCGTTTAGACCAAATAATTTGAATATATTTCAATTAACTCGACTGATTACGGGAGATAAGCTTATATGATAATTCATGACCTTGAGGCTTGAACTGATTTGCCAAAGCATATTCTTGAAAGAGGTAATCCTTTTTTTTAAACATAAATTACACAGTTAGCCACCAGCAGCGGTCAAATACTGTACAAAATTAGTTTCAACTTTTCAAAGATAATTTCGAGGTTTCCGCTGTGGTAAGCACCACGTTCTTTTCCTTGTTCGAAATTTGTGTTTTTATTTGAATAACGTTTTTCTCACAGTAGGGCTTCAGAGGAGTAGTAGAGGACTGAGCTATGCTAACCGATGAGGTCATTCTGACATGCTTCCTGCCATTGACGAAAGCTTGTGTTAGCATAAAGGATGCGACTAAAAAACGTGCAATAAACTGATGAACACGAATTTTCGCATAATACTGAAAAAAATTATTTCAGAATCATTTGGTTTATGAATTTATTTAAATAATGCGATATTTAACGTGAAGGATGCAATGCTCACAAAGCACCGAAGTCAACACCCCCTCCCCCATCTGGTTTAGGGATTTTTTAAATCAACGAACATTGGCCCTCCGGCAAAAATCCGTTCGTTATAACTCAAAATCTGAACATGTGCTTAGAAATGATCCTTTTCTGCAAAAGAAAGTTCTGATTTCTTCAATATTCCCTTACGGTTTGAAGCATCTGTGCAACAATTTTGAGAAAGAAATGAAGGTAGCTCAACTGTCAGCTAACTTGACTGAGGGGGTCATCCATTATTCGAATTATTACCCCGCATTAAATTATCTTACGGGCGTAAAAATCCAATCAAATTCTCCCCAATTGAATCCGTGGAGAGATTGAATTTGGTCAACAAACTTTTTCCAAGAACCAATTAGGTTTTTAAGCCAAATGTTGACTGTAACGTGGTCAGTGTTTTCGAAAAATGGTGCCAAAAAGAGATCATACAAGAAAATCATCCTTCCAAAATCGACTGCAGTGATCATTTCATTGCGAAATTAATCTGAAACAGACAAAAGCTGGATTGAGTTACTGTACTATTATCTGCTAAGAGGCCAATCGAATTACCGTGCTTTCAAAAACACAAGCTCAATTTTTATCACCGCATGCCCTCATGTATCAAGCGCGAAAATTCGGTGAACAAAACCAAATACAGTGAGACCCCCACATGCGGACACCTCGACCTGCGAACAATTCGACATAGGGACGCTTATTAAATCATAAAAAATTACTTAAAAAGGCCTGACATGCTATGAGGACACTGACTCAGCATAGCGACATTTTGTTATAAAATTGCAAATAAATTTCAGGCCAAATTACAAGAAAAAGATATTTCCAACCCTAAAATTGATGTAAAAAAAGTTCTTGGGCATTTCTCTCACCAATTTACCATCCATTTAGCTAATTAAAAACAGTTACCTCCAGCAGAGAGGGA